CACATGACCACCGAGCCCCACCTACCCAGATGGTCATTAGGGCAGAGGACCAGTTGTTAAATTATTTGAATCCCACCACTGATCTATCTCCAGCACTGATATTCAGGTTTACAGAATGTGCTAAACTCTTATTCTGGTCTGGCAAACCATTTTAATATCCAAACAAACCACATTATTGCTTGGGAGAATTTGGTTCGCAAACAAGCTAAGATAATGGCTGGATTCTGCCAACTTCCCCAATCTTATTTTAGCAGAGTTCCTACATTTCGGCAAGCTCAGCAGATAAGCATCCAAATACATTTTCCAGGGAATAAATTGATTTATTTTCCAGCTATTTAGTAATTATGATCTAACTGATTTCCTGCTAACAACGCACGTCGTGCTTTGCAGAATTAGAATAAAGTAACATTCCTGACCTAAAATAGCCTAAAAGCAAGCACTTTTAGGAAGACAGCATACAGAGAAAATGTTGTATTCAGTTTTATGTATATAAACATGGGTGTATTTATGGTTTAAACAAGGCGTAACATGTTAAGTGAAGTTACTAAGAAAAAATGACTCAATTAAATAACTCTCTTCCCATCTACACAAAGCTGTTTGTCATTAATTGGAAAAACCACAAACAAATGTATATTATCTACAAGGTTTGTAGTATCTTTTCCCTAGAAATGTGATTGGGACTTTGACCTCCTTAGTCATAAGGGGATGAATGATAAAAATGCTGAATACATTTAATGGATCATTTGCAAAAAAAATAATCCAGCTATTTGGGAATATTTTCAGCATAGGTTATCCCATGGAAATTGAATACTCAAAATACTATTTTAAAAAATCAATCGTGAAACCTAAAAATCTGCTATGGAGTATCATTACAGTTACAGTTAAAGATTCAAGAATGTGGGAGGTCAAGATGATCCCAACGGAATCTTTTTTTCCCCCTATACATTTCTATCCTAAGATTTCTGTATTTGGTGCCATATGGCAATATCTCTCACATTGGACAAAGCAGCAGTTGTTAGCTGAAGATGTTTTTCAACAGCCACAGAGAAACTGAAAGCTTCTGTCAGTTGCCAGTTGGAATCTACAGTGGTGCTTGAAAGTTTGTGAACACTTTTAAGGTAAAGGTTCCCCTCGCACATATGTGCTAGTCGTTCCTGACTCTAGGGGGCAGGGCTCATCTCCATTTCAAAGCCAAGAGCCAGCGCTGTCTGAAGACGTGTCTGTGATCATGTGACCGGCATGACTAAACACTGAAAGATGACTAAACACCGAAAGCGCACGGAATGCTGTTACCTTCTTACCAAAGGGGGTTCCTATTTTTCTACTTGCATTTTTTTACGCGCTTTCGAACTGCTAGGTTGGCAGAAGCTGGGACAAGTAATGGAAGCTCACTCCAATATGCAGAGCTAGGGATTTGAACCGCCGAACTGCCGACCTTTCTTTTAATTTTTTTTATTATAAACACTTGTACACATTGACAAAAACACACACAACACTTACAAATAACATCGGAACTTCACATTCCTTCTTACAGCAGGTATCTATCGGTGCATCTTTACAAACACTATTTCCCACTCAATACATCTCTGTGTAATTTTACACTTATAATCCTATTATTTCTTACTCAGTCTTTGTTTGGTTATTTGTATCAGATAGTCTTTGTTGTTCTTCTACTAATATATAACTTTTCCTACTTTTGTAAATCCTACC